GGGAACGCTCGTCGTGGGCTGCGGGGAGGGCCGCGGACGCAGAGGTCTCGTCGGATGGGGTCTTTCGGTAGTGCCGTCCCGTCCGAGCTTAGATTGATGGGAGCTGTCTGCCGGTTCCTTCGCCTGCGGGGTCGAGGAAGTCGTCTGGAAGTGATGTGCAGCGTGAGTGAGCTGTAGTTGGTTGTACATCCTCATGGGGGAAGCCACAGTATAAAAATAATTTTTCAGTGACTTCAGATTTTCTAATGATGGATCAACACCAAACTAGAGCTTTTCCTTAAAGATACTATTGACTGACGTTTTCCTTTATTTCAAAAAAAAAAAGAAAAAAAAAAAAGGGCGGGAGAGGGAGGAAAAAAAAAGAGAGGTAGTAGTTATAATGGATTCTGCATGATTTTAAAACATTGCTCAGCTGATTTGAACACGTTAAATGTGGCTGTGCCCTTTCTTGAGCTGAGTCCTGCTTGGGAGCGCATTGTTCTTGAACGTCAGTCTTAACTTTGGCTGAGGAAGACTGCTGAAACTTTTGACGTGGCTATAAAAATTTCCACTTGTTTAGACAGCGTGACAATTGTATGGCTTTACATTAATTGTCTGCCTGTCAGCTACCCCGATTGCCGGAAGAGTCTGCCGTGGGAGAACTGCTTTCTGCTTGCTCCTTTCTTCTGTTCCTGCCAAGGGATCTCCGGTTGGGTGCTGTTGGAGAGGGTATTCTGGACCTTTGGACTGTCAGAGCTTTGTGCTCAGTTTTTTGAAGTACGTTGTTACTTAGGGGATCACAGAACCAAGAACACTGTTCAAAATCATGTGGTTGCTCAATGCTGTGAACAGCAGCTGAATAATTATCCTTGGTTATTTATCATCTAGGTACATAAAAATCACTTTGTTTTTTCTTTCTATTTTCCAACTCCTTGTTATTAGGACTCACGGCACTGTAGTTTTCTTGGAACAAATTAAATGTTTTTTCCATAATGTACACGGTATAATAGCAATACCGTGTAGTATCTGACTCTAATCACACAACCAAAAGGATGCATAATTGATTCTAAATGCAACTTTTATACTTTAGCTCCTTGACCGCAGATTCTAGTATACGTTTAGGATATCTAGTACTCATGAAGTTTAAGTCTATTCAATAAAGGTTAAATATTTTAAATGAAGAAAACTAATCATCCTTATAAATTTTAATGTATTTCCATTATTTGGTGGCTTTTAACAGGCAGAATTCAGGTTTATTTTGTTTCGTTCTTCAGTTCTTTCAAAATTCACATATTACATAATTCTATTGCAAGATTGATTTCTTTCTATTTCCTTGTAGTGTGATCCTGGGATTTTTAAGGATTGCAGTCCTGTCTCTGTTATAATCTGTGTGCTGTCAGGCCCTTTGTAAGGGAGGGCAGAGCAAAACTTTGTGATTCAATGCTTCCTGTAAGACATTCCCAGAAAGTACCAACTTTGGCACGTAGTCTTAGTCACTTCTGAAAATAATAACAAATGAATCGTTCTATAATTATAAATCTGTCATCGTATCAGCAACAAAGCCTCAGTGATACATTTGCCTATTAAATGAAAAGGAGAATGCGGAAAGGAGAAGGTTTTGGTATAGGTTAGGGTAATGGATTAGGAAAAAAGATACTCAAGATGGATGATAAACTAGAGTGACTTTTTGGAGTCATGTTTTGGTTTACTCTGCCTCGCTCTTAGGCTGGGGCAAATAGAAATGCTGTTACGGTCAGTACGAGGAGTTTAATGAAGAGGATATTATGAGTAAGATGCTTCCTGGACTTGGGTTTCAGGCATATGACAGTTAGAGATGAGCTTTGGAGACCTTCTGGAGCCAGAGCTGAAAGGGGGCTAAAACCAGTTCTGCAGTCGCTGTCGCTGTGGGAGGTATAGAAGAAAGAGGACTAGTTAGTTAGCTGTCAGGCTTACCTCTCTCTGGCCTGTGAGCCAAATGTTGCTTATACCACAGAACAGAAGAAGTGGTGAGATGAGGATTACGTTAGCAAGGGATTAGTTTAGGCTTCAGTGGTTTGAAAGTGGTCATAAAAAACTGGAGATGCTCATTTTGCTACAGTTATAAAAGCTGTAATGTGGCTGGATTATTTTGGGGGTTTAGTGTTGATGGTAGTGTCTTCTATATAGAAGGTTTCTCTCACTGTTAATGATGCTAGCTTTACAGATGGGACTATTCTGATGCACTCATATCTAATTTTTTAAATATAATTCTAGGTATAAGCATACATGGCTCCTGGTGTCTCAAATGAGAAGAAAACTGATGATGAACAGTGTTCAAAGTAAGATTAAGAAATTAATTACTTGTCCAAATTTACACTTACTTTCCTTCCCAAGCTCATTGCACACATTTAGTTTAAGATTAAGTTTATGGTACAAATATTGATTATAACATCACGTATCTAGTAGAAGCTGTTTTGATAAATGGAGTCTTTATCTGCTTTAATCACACCTACACGGAGGGCTTTGCTGGCTAGCCATTTTCATTTATCATAACAGTAAATTTTTCCAAGCATAGGTGATGTTTTTAATTTATTTTTTTTTTTAAATCCAGTGAGCTGTTGAAATGTTGACTTTGGCTGCCGCATATGGCCAGACCTACCTGCTTCCAGAGTTTAAACAAATATTTCAATCTGTTTCTCTAATCCTTACTTCAAGCTTATTTTAGTAAAACCATATATGCATGTTTAGTCCTCAGATATTCATGTTCTGTTTAAACCCCCAGAAGTTGTAGGTGCTTTACAACAGTGTGAGGGGAATAAATTGTCTGCTCCTTAGAGTTACAGGCCGAAGATTTTCATCAAGCAAACTTTGCCTCTACTGTAAATCCATGGCATTGGTCCTATGTACACATAGTAATATGCTTACTTTTATTGCCCATTTTACCCCAGGGTCCAAGTCTGCAGTTAGGTCTGGATGGGCAGATAACGAGTACAAGATGGTAACAGCCCCTAGGTGCAGTGAGGCGGTGGGTGGAAGAGTGTTGCTGGTAGGGTATGAGGTGAAAAAGGTGAAATACAGACACTGCTGAGGAAGGCAGCTGTATTTAGGCCAGGCGTGAGGGCAGTGGTGTTGGCACATACCACATGAATTTCCCTGTACTTTTAATAGAGACCTCGCCTTTTCCCAATTTGTTTCCTGGAGAGAAGCTTTTATTGCTGGTATTCTCATAAAGAAGGAAATATTTTTTGCTTGCCTGAGAACAAATTGTAAAGTGATTTCAAATCATACCCTATTTGTATGTAAAAGCTGTTCCAGTAAACATCAGCACAGGAAGCTATTTGATCTGCATTAGTGAGTGGCCCATTAAATATGGGTAGTGAGTCCCACCGAACAGGAATCATTCAGGGGAGGCAGCCTGGGAATTCTGCTGACCTGAGCTGGCAAACTCCTGGGCTGTCTGCGCCTTTCTGAAGAACCATAAACCTGCTTTTTATTTCTCCCGGAGTCAAACAGGTCTCTTGGAGGAACAAAGGCAACCAAGAACTTTGATTCCTCCTCAGTGGGAATTTGTATGGAGAGAGGCAAATGGGGCATGTGGGAGATGGAAAGGAATTACTACTGAAGGGGCGAACGAACCACCGGCTTTGTTGGGCTGCTTTTTCAGTTGCTGAAGGTGGTAGTCTGTAGTAGGCAGGGACAAACAGGGTGGGTTGGGATCATCCCTCTTTCTTTGGTTGTGCGGTTGCTGCTCGATAGTTAGTGACATTGGAGAGAGAATTTCAAGAACAGAAACAATTGTTATACTCAGAATATTGGGGTTGTAACTATTTTCTTTGCTTTCTGAGGAACAGCTCAGTGACCTCAGTATGGGCATCTAGGCTACTTTAGGCTTCTTAAGGTAACCAATACATCCTGCACAGGATTGACAGATAAGACAAAAGCACTGCCTTTCTGGCGAGGCATTAGAAGACAGAAAAGATAACATAAAGCATCTAAAATAGTGCTAAATGCCTATGTTTAGGCTTCAGAGTTGTTCCTGCAAAGTTTTAACAATTTTTTGCATAAACTCTAGGCAAACTCTTTTGTTTGTCTCCTCTGACAAAGCAGTTTGAATTTGCTGAGCCATGCTGTGAACTGCAGTGAGCCTTCATTAAGCTATTAAGTCATCTTCTTGTGTCTGGAAGATATTTATTGCTTGATTTTATGTCTCAGAAACTACTTTGAAGTATTGGCCTGTATTTTGCTTAAGCTTGTAATTATTGACTAGTCTTTCCTACCTCTTTCAATTGAACTTAAAACATCCAGCTCAGAGGACATACGTTTTATGAATCATTCAGGTTGCTTAGTTAGTCCATTACCAAATTTTCCATGAAGGTGATCCCACATGCTAAATAGTTCAGTTTTCCCTCCTTGCCTTGTCATTTCCTGATTCTTCAGAAAGATTTTTATTTTTTTTAAAGCCGTATCAATTTCTTACAGGAAGCAGCTTAAGAAGAAGTGAATTCTTTTTACCTCTTCCTCTCTTTCACTTTTTCTTGCATTTTTTTTTTTCCTCTTCCATGGTTTTTGCTTCAGATTTCCATTTGCCTCTTTCCTCTCCTCTTTCAGGTCCTCTGTACTCTTGTTACCAGTCTCACGCCATAGAGTGTTTTGCCTCCTGACTGAATGACACAGAGTTACAGTGAGCCAAATTGCCAATCCCCTTTGGGCCTGTCTGTAAAGCACAAATCATCCCACCCCTCTCAGGTGGCTAGGGAGTCTGTCAAAACACAGAGGTCAAGTTTGCTTTTCAGCTTTGCTGTAGATCATCTATGTAGTAAGGTGGTCTATTGAATATTCCCTGGTCCTGCTCCCATTGTTCTGCTCACCATAAAGATCCACTCTGGTTCACAGCTTTAATATTGTTTAAGATAAAGGCACTGTTGCAAGTGCATCCTATCATCTGGGCTTTTCTTCAGCGATTTCATCCTGTGCAATGAATGGAATGTTAAATACCATACGTGATTTATTAGGAGAAGTAAGGTAGTCATGAAATTTAAGATTTCCTTAACGTAATGCATAAGGAACCAAAATAAGGTAGTGCGAGCATACTTAGGTGTGGCATTTCCCAACTTTTACTGCTTGACTTTGCAAAATTAGCATCTGTTCGATGTAGGGGTTTGTACATACTCTATATGTTTCACAATGCTGCTGTTCTGGCAGAGAGAATTTTATCCATCTCTGCAACCCTCACCTGGAGAAAATGAAAGAAGACATTCTGTACCATTTTGCTCTTGGGACTGGTACCCATGATTTTCCAGCGTTGTTTGGAGATGTAAAGGTAAGATTCTTCATTTCATTCAGCAAGTCTAAGCTCTTCTGCAGAAGGTCGAAGTGTAGCTGTCTTCAAAATAAGACTAAATATCTTCGCATACCACCAATTGAGGAATGAATGGAAAGGGGATAATATTTTGTGGGTTCTTGTCACTTTCAATATCAAACAAAATTGGGGATAATTGTTTCTGACTGTCTTTTCTCATCTAGTAAATAGACAAGTGCTGCAGTCTATTTTGGTAGAATTTCCTTTTGGGGGACCTTCAAGCCAATATCTGTCTTTTACTAGTTTAAACAGGATGAAGGCATTTGAGTGCTATATAGTTGTTGTTTTTCTTTTCTGTAATTTTTCTTCATGGCCTTTTAGAATGATTATGAGAAGAACCACATCAGGGAATAGCTCTGTGCTAACTGAAGGTGTTTGCATCCTCATGTTGATCTTTGCATGTTCTTTGATATACTGAATCATGCAATTGATTTTGTTTTGTTGAATACTGTCCACCCCAGTTTGTATGTGTTGGAGGAAGTCCTTCACGGATGAAAACTTTTATCACCTACATAGCTGAAGAACTGGGGCTTGGGAGCCCTGGTTGTGACTATCCTAACATCTGTGCGGGAACTGACCGTTACGCAATGTACAAAGTGGGACCTGTTTTGTCAGTCAGTGTAAGTACCTCACTTAATCAGGTATGGGACACAGTTCAATGATGCTGTTCAAAGTAGAAAATATAAATGCACATTTCTTTTAAACACTTAATAGGCCAAGTCAGGTTTTTAAGTTTGCATCAGCCATGCTCAAAATAGTGCCGTCGGCTAAAAAGGAATTCTTAATTAGCTTTTTCTTGTAAGAGGGGCAAATATCTGAGACCTTCATTCCTTTCTTGCCTCTTTATCCTCAGTGTACCACTGAGGTGTTGCAGGAATGGCCTTACAGATTTTTTGAGCAGCCTTACCGTTGCCTCATCCCTGTTCTGTATCCTGAATAATGGGGAAAAAAGGTCACTTGATGCATGTCAGGTATTGGTAAAAATGGCTGTATCACATCCAGAGCCAAGTATCTGCAGTGGCATTGTTAAATGCTAACATAGCTTAAGAGTAGCATTCCATGGGACTTGCACTGCCAACTCATGTGTGCATTTTAAAACTTCACACATTTAATTTGTAGATACGATTACATATTTCAATTGCAATTGCATAACTGTAGTATCATTCTGCACCCTTTCTTTTGAGTTGTAATTATCACATTATCATGCAAGTTAAAGTGGACTTATATTTGCTGAACTTTGTGACTAAACCACAATGTCTGTGTTTTGGAAAAATTTAGCTTAGCTATCCACTAGCACTTCAGGTTGTTAAAAAAATCAGAGTGTCGTTTTTCTTGTGTTTAAGAAAAGTTCTGTGATGAAGTGCATTTGTCAACTGTTAGGAAAGGACACTGCTTATACTTCTGAGAATGTAAATATTTTATAATTCATGATTTTTAGAAATATTATACTTCATCTATAGTCTACCAAAGCCAATAGGAGTCTTTCTCTTTACTTGCAGTAGCCTTTCAGTAGGCTCATAGGTTAGGGTTTTTGTGGGAGTGAGTTAGGTGACATTTGAAAAAAAAATATCAGGAAGGAGATATTGTCCAGCTCCTTCTTCCGTATATATTTTGCATTGTCTATGTGAATGTCAAATATGAATTTCTGCTTTCATTTCAGCATGGTATGGGCATTCCTTCTATTTCAATCATGTTGCACGAGCTGATCAAACTGTTGTATCATGCCAGGTGTACCAACATAACCATTATTCGCATTGGCACCTCTGGTGGAATAGGTATTTCCCCTCTTGATTTCTTTTTTTTTTTTTTTCTTCAAATAAAAGCATCTTTGTAGGAGAGTAAAGCATCTCTCTGCAAGTAAGTAATTGATGTTCAGAACAGTTTTCCGCAGGTGATGAATCATTTTGCTTCCGTAATTTTGAAAGAAAAGGCAGTATCTGCCTCTGGATAGAGAAAATGCACTTAAGAGATCTGACAGCATGAGGAGAAGGACATTCCTGTTCTGTATGAAAAGTATGAGATAAGAAAGAATATATAGTGAAAAAGGAACAATTCTTTCAGAAATTACCTATAATAATAAACTGAAGCAGTTAGGCATGCACAAAAAAAACCTCTTGGTGAATTCAGGGGCAAAACTGCCACCTTTGAAGGAAGCAGGATTGGGTCAAGATATATATTTTATGTGCGTGGAAATAAAGCATTAACTACATTGTGAAGCTCTGTCTATTTCTTTTTACTGCAGGTCTGGAGCCAGGCTCAGTGGTTATAACTAGGCAGTCTGTAGATGCCACCTTCAAACCTCAATTTGAACAGGTTATTCTGGGGAAGACGGTAATACGCAGTACAAACCTAGATGAACAGCTAGCTAAGGAACTGATGCAGTGCAGTAAAGAAATCGGTCAATTCAATACAGTCATTGGAAACACTATGTGCACTTTGGATTTCTATGAAGGTAAGGCTGGTGACAGACTAACAAGTATATTGGCATGCAGCAATAGATCAATATTGATTAATATTTTAACATTAAGGCTCCAATTCACTGAACAGAACATGTTCCCTACTTTGAGTTGTCTTGTCAACTGTAATTAACGTATTTGTCATATACATAAATTGATTAATATTTTAACATTAAGGCTCCAATTCACTGAACAGAACATGTTCCCTACTTTGAGTTGTCAACTGTAATTAACGTATTTGTCCTATACATAAAATCAAGCATTGTGTTTAGCAGTTTGCTGTGTTGAACTTTTAATTTTGTGGAGGTTTATTTCCCCCCAGCTCTAATAGATCCTCTGAAATACATGTAGTCTGCTATACACTTTTCATGCACTCATCAGTTAGGTATGTTTGTCACAAAATTTCTGTGATTTACTGAGACATCCTAGAGGATTAGAGGAGTGAGAAGTATTTGTGGCTGTTTTGGGGTTAGTTTTTTTTTGCGCTGGTTAAGTATCTGAAGTGAATCTGTTTTCTAAAAGAAGTGTTGGAACTTGTTTTCCATGCATATTTTGAGCAAAGCAGTGATCAGACAAGTGAAGACAATATTTTGCTGAGTTCTGTCAGTGCTGCTACATAGCAGGGGCAAACCTCGAAGGCTTACTTTGGATAAACATGTAGACAGTCCGGTGCTTTTTTGATCTCCCAAGTCCATTCACAAACATCTTGCAATTCTTGTGAGAACAGAGTGTAGATGGCACCTGATACTACTTTCTGCACCTGTTGCTGAATAGGTGACACAAGGTGCAATGCAGAGGGGAGCACGTGGTCTTTATAATAGTGCTCAAGCTTGATCAGAAGCACACACAGTCAGTTTGTGTATCTCCTCAGACACCAATCACAGGTGCAAGCTACACTGAAAAAACGTCAGGAATGTTTTCTACTCATACAGCAAAAACTGAGAATGGGCTCAAGGGCATTAATTTAGGAGTACATCTCCTGAAAACAAAAAGATACTGAGTAAAACACCATACAATTTAACTTTACTGTAGATAACCTGCTGCTGTTTTATCTGTAGGTGTTATTCTTGAGTAATCTGAATAAACTAATTTTCTTAAAAAAATCATAGTAGCATTAGCTAGTTAGCTTACGAGACTCTTCATCTCTTACCTTAGAGAGTCTGTAAGTAATAAAATGTTCATCCTTTTGAGGTAGCATTAGGAAAACATTTTCAAGCCTGGCAGTTTTTCTAGACAATGATTAAACATAGAAAAAATACAGCACTTCCATATAACTTAAAGTTTGTTACTGAATTTTGACGCATACTGCACATGCGGGAAACTGCTACTTACATTTTTCCGTTTATGAATTTGAGAATTTTAGCTGAAGAAGACCAATTAAATTACTGTAATTCACATTATAAGAAATAGAAGTAATATGTAGAAGCTCTAGCAATAGCTAAGAATCACATTGTCCTTATTTGTCTTGTGCTTGAAAATAAAGAGTATTAGTAAAAGTTGGACACTGTATAGGGGAAACTGCAATACTTGGGTGTTTTAGAAATGGAGTTTGTTCCGTGACTTCATCAGTCTGAAAATTTATACATAATGACTTTGTAGGACAGGGCAGGTTGGATGGTGCAATCTGCTTATATAGTGAAGAAGAGAAACTGCGGTACTTGAAGGAAGCTTATGATTCTGGCGTCAGAAACATAGAGATGGAGTCTTCTGTATTTGCTGCAATGTGTAATCTCAGTGGTGTCAAAGGTAAACTAACTTAAAGTCACTGTATTCAAGAGGTTTGTGGTAAAAACTGTGAATGAAGTGTTTACATACCTTCTGCATATAAAAAAAACCGGTTCTGGTTATAGTTTTGTTGCTATGATTTATTTGTGTCATATGTATTCACAACTTAGGCAAACAGTTTAGTTCTGTTATTTGCTATTCCAGCCCATGGCAAGCACTTAAACCATTAAAGTACCTAATTACCCTATAGCATTAATTTGTTTTCTTCAGTTAGTTTTTGAAGTTTACAGAAAGCAACTGGTTATTTTAAGCAATCAGGTGATTCTCATATATCTAAAACTATAATCACTTTCTATACTTTCATATCAAATTGAAAATATAAGTCTTTTGTATAGACTTACGGCTGCAGTTCTTAAACAGTTGAAGATTTTTAGTAGCATTATGAATAAACCATTCCTAATTGTAAAATGAGTTTTTAATTTTTTACACAAGCCAAGTAATTTTCAGTAAAGATTAGGAAAAAGAAGTGATTACAAGTAATGTAATACAGCACCTTTCTACTTAGCATCTTAACTATAGTCTCTCAGTTCGTTGGCAAGGAATTTGCTAATTTAAAACAGTGATGTTTCTCGAACTTCCTTAAACTTAAGGAGGACTAAAGGAACTAAAATAAGCAAAAAGGCCAACAGTTACATTCAACGTCTTCAGTTCTTACTGACTTGAGAGTGATTAAAAACCCAGCCCATGCTATCACTGAGCCGTTAGGGAGCCTGGCCCTTTTTGCTGTCTCTACTTTGCAAGTCTGTAATGTGTATTACTCCTCGTGCTCTGCAAATTGCCACTAGCAGAAACCCCAGCTACACAAGAGTGATAGTAGAGCTCAGCTTGAGTGAAAGGAGGGATTTTACCTTTGGGGCTCTGATTACCAAAAGACAGCAGATGAGCCTGAGATGATCCATGAGATCCTCAGGTACTTGTAGTGCTCCCCATCTGTGAATGTCGAAGTGGCTTATTTGCTGAGGGATGACATGTGCAGCACAGGGATCTGAGTTGCAGATAAGGTAGATAGCAGAGGGCTGTAACTACATCTGCTAGAACAGTGTCTCTGATCACTTCCTACCAGTCAAGTCCTGAGTACTTGTGAAATATAATTCCTATCCAGAAGAACATAAGAATCATGATATAACAATAAGTATCTGCAGCTGCCTGAGAGCTCTTGCTTTATTAATGTAGTAATCAGTTGTCTTAAACTACTTGTAACTTTTTTTTATATCATCCACAGCATGCTAGTCCCCTAGCGTCTTGGGGGGGACAGGACGGGACGGGACTGTGCACTGGTTTTGGGGGTTTGTTTTCTCTCATATTTCTAATCTAGCTGTTAATTCAAATGTTTATGCTTTTGGACTGTAGAAGTGCCAGAATGTCATTCCTAACTAATGCTGTCTTTTAATTTCTAGCTGCCGTAGTGTGTGTCACTCTTCTGAATCGGCTTGAAGGGGATCAGATTAGTAGCTCACATGATGTACTTGTGGAGTATCAGCAGAGACCACAGAAGTTAGTGGGATATTTCATTAAGAAAAGTCTTGGGAAAGTATGAAATATCCACCTTTGTTTTATAGAAGGAGAAGGCTTTTGCACAGCTGAAGTCATGGTCATGACTTTTGTGCGTTAAAGGTTTTTTGCCTCAGAATACCTTACAGCATTTCATGTGTCTGTGGAAGTTAATCATTTATGCCACTGTGCTTTGGGAACTGAATGTGCTGAATGGATTTCAGTTAAGCTTTGCTTAGTTATGCATTGCTGGATGTAAGAGTTATTTTTCTGTGAATTGGAAAGTGGATCTGTTGTGAAGGTCAAGCCTGCTATAATATATGAAAAAGCTTTATTTTTCCCTGTTGTAAAAGAAAAACTAGGAAGAAAATCAAACTTTATTGCCAAGTACTTGCAAACCACAAAATTAAAATTAACTCAAGAATGTTAATCCCTTTCTTGTTGTTATAAAGAATTATATAAATTATAATTGTGTTTGTTGCTTCACTTGTAAAGAAAATTTAAAGTGAATGCAGTTTATCTTTTGCAAACTTTGACAAATAAACAATACTATTTTCATATATTAAAATTTCATGAAATTGCAAAGTGTGGGACTGAATTTTTTGAGCATTAAGGACTTGACACTGAGCTGTTGAATATCTATACTTCTAGATATTGATCCAACAAGGTCATTTATATCCCAGTTTAACTAGATGATTGAATCAATACCCAGGAAACATTTATGCATTAAGTAATTTTGCACTGAAGAACTTGAAATCTTTTGCTGAATCAAGGCTCCTGCTTACAGAAGAGGAAGCAAAGGCATTCAAGAGATGCACAGCATGTTCACTGGGCTGCATTATCGTAGTTCTTTTGTGTTCTTTTTTTTTTTTCTTTTTTTCTCTTTAAATTGGCTTTCATCTCCATGGCTTCAGGACATAACACTCACTGTTGCAATGGTTCCCAGTTCTCCTGAAGAACTGGAGAATACCTGTTGACTGTATATGCCATCAAAACATGTACATACCATGTAAATGCCATTTCTGCATTTTTTCCCACTACCATTGGCCTAGCGTTTGGAGTTGTTTTAAATCCTCCTCGTTGCTGCTGTGGTTAGAATATAAATATGTGGTCAACTAAAGAAAAATGCGTTTATCTTTTTTTTTTTTTTTTTTTCCTTTTTCCTCTTTTCTACTGCAGTGGAGGGTCCCCTCCTTCCAGGAGTCACAAGTCAAAAGGGTTTGAATAAACTTTCAGAACAGCTGTTGCTGATCCAGCTAAATGATATTTTCTTTTCGAGGATTGTAGTCCTTAATACTTTGTTAGCAAGCATAAGAGTGAGACCTAAGAGGGAGTGATGTGGTAGTGTGCACATTCACCAAGAAGTGGCTGAAACTGGAAGCAATGTGATGAAAACATTAAAAAAGGAAGGGATGAGTCTTGTGAACAGGAGACTGCCAATGAGGATTAGTCTCCTTAAATTTGATGAATTTTCAACTGGAGAACAGATAAAAATACTAGATTTTTTAAATTTACTAATTTAGTCTTCCTTGAATTTTAAAAACACATTTTCTCACTTATGCTCAGGATATACAATGAATGTAAGTTTTCAGAGAAAGTCTTTATTTCCCTAAGCTGAAGGAAGGAATCAGGTGGGAATGGCTCCACATTTTGTTTTAACTATTCCTCCCTTATTTAAAACAAACAAACAAACAAAGAAACCAACTGTGTTTAACTATGCCTAGTGCTTGCCTGGGCATTGTGTGAAGCCCTGTGATGTCCCTTGGGAAATGTGCAATAAAGTATATCCTAGCTCTGCAGATGCTTCCCAGAACAGCAGCAAGGAGATGAAAAGATCACTTAAGCAACATGCTGCACTCTAGGCTGAAGAAAAGCTTATACCAAATTGACCAGTATGGGTTTGGAGGAGACAGTTTGCTGTTGTAAAAGAAACACTATGAATTGCCTAAAGGGAATAAATACTTCACGAAGAAACCAAAGAAACACCTGATGTGGCTCTGTGGTGCTTTGGGGAAGCATATTACTGCAGTTTTCCTGGAGGTATGGATCTGAAATGGTGTGATTTGTCTTTTTAAAGGAAGGATAACAAAAATCTGGAAACTGTTTAAAAAGAAGGAAGTTCTTAAATCTTTTAACAGTGTGAGCTGTCAATTGAAACTACAAAGCTTTTGTATTTATGGTCATATAAAGTAAGCACTTTTATTTTGATAACTAATACGAAAACTCTTATGTGCTACATGTCAAAATATAACTAGCGTTGTGGCCTGACTGAGTTGGAGCTAAGGGTCAAGCGTTCATGGAGTGATGCAACTATTCTGTTAAATCAATACATAAGACCCTAGCAGAAACCCCTGGAAGACTTCAGCCATTCACTTTTTGCCAATATGGGCTTTCTCCTTCCCACTGTTCCTTACGACATTGTACTTTTCTTTCTCCTAAAATATTTGTCTTTTGTGCTTCCTAACAGTTGAAGTAAAGGGATGTACGACAACTTAAAATTAGAATCCAAAGGAGACCAAGTATTCTCCTGTTTCTCCTGGTCACCATCCTGTAATGCTGTATTTCTAATGCAAGAGGGTGCTCTGTAGACACATCTTAGGTGCAATAAAATACTTTTCTCAGCTTCAGAGGAAACTTGGCAGAATGTTACCCTGATAAGAACAATTGCATTTTCCCTGGTGACTGCAACTGGACAGAGAGATAAAGAAATGAGTCAGCTGTGTGTACATCCGACAATGAAGTTACCTTCCTGAAGGTTTTACAAAGATGTCCATAAAGAATTATAAAATATAAAACAGGCTTTTATATGAAAATAAATTATTTAATATTAGCCATTCACATTTTTTCTGTAGAACATGAATCAGGATTTGGAGTGGTGATGTTGTTAAAAGCATATATGATATTACATATATGTTTGATATTACATAGTACAGTGTCTCCGGGTAGATCTACAGATCCTGCAAACCTCAATGTCAAATCAAAGGCCTGCTCTTGTTCTCTACGCCACCCTATACCTAGAAGTACACTACAGAATCAGTTTACTCCAAAGATCAGAAGAGATAAAAGCAAAGAACGGAAGTAGAAGATATGAATAGGGTAGAAGCGTGAAGGGGGAAAACAGTGGTTTCTACCAATGGTTTGTTTTGTGATTCACGGTGTTCTTCTGGCCTGTTCCTACCATTTTGTTACAGAAATGGTTGAGTCCGTAATGAAGATAGGCTAGAATGCATTTGTTTCACAATTGCAAGAAACTGAGAATGTACAGTAACTTGATTAGTGACTTAAAGGAGTGGATTTTTATTTTTGGCATCTTGATAGAGAAGGATTTTCTTTAACGGAAGGTATGAGAAATCCTGAAAAGGAACATTTTGGAACGCCCTACTGCCAGAAGTGCTTACAGTATAAATATTTTTATCTGTCCTTTAAAAACCAAGCAAAATAATTTAGTAATTTCAGTATTTCTTGAAAATATGCACATGTAAAATGCAATATCTTTTTTAAACATTCTTCCTAAGTCCTTGCAAAGGATTTTCAGTGCATTATGTAACAGAACTGGATTTTCTTCTCAAGTCTGGATCTCAATATATTCCTAAATAAAATGTTTATACAGTTGAATCAGAGATGTGTTTCATTTCCATTGACAAGGTAGGTGAAAGAAACCAAAGTGTGAATGTTTTTAGATTTGCCCATCAGCAGTCTGTTATGTTCTGAATGCAGTGCTCAGTAGTGCAAGCAGCAAACTGAGCTTTGGGGATTGGATCTGCATGCAACAACTGAATACAAAAAAAAGCACAGTGGTGTGATTTGATGACACTATTACAGTTTGCTACAAGATGTTGAGGTTTACTTTCCCTGAAAGTTTCGCACTCTTTAAGTTGGAGTGACTGAAATACGTGCTTTCTCTTTCGAAAATAATTACCATTTAATATTATACTCCAGAGTATGAATTAAATTACAGTTTAAAAAGTCTTCTGCCTGAAGAGAAAGGAGGTCACTGAACAGAGCAACATTAAATCTGAAACTCTATGGTATAATAATAGAAGAAAGAGTAATGCTGACAGGGGCAATGCTTTTGCTTAGGCTACAAACAACGTGCTGCAGCAGAAAAAGACACACAGAGCCGGTTTTACATGACACAGAAACTGATTCCAGATGCTTCTTGCTGGCGCTGAGCTTGTAACTGTGAGAAAAATTTCAGTTTACTATCAGTCTGTCATATTACAAGAAGAAAATTCCTAGAGCTGCCCAGAAGCTCAAACCAACCACTGGCCTCCTTGTGAGACTGGGTCTGGGGGTTTTTTTGTTTTATGTGTAGCTCCATTTTAATCAGCCCTATTATTTGACCTTGCCCACAAGTAACATTTTTCATCATACCCTAACTTTGCACGCAGGAAGTGTCTACCAGGAAAGATGCGACTAATTGATGTCATCCTGCAGGCACTTTGTCTGCAAAACAGGTCTGTGCCATGTAAATATTTACAAGTACTACTAATAATGTTAAAAGGAAAGCCTGGTGATCACACGGTAAACCTTGTGAAAGAAACTGTGGGCAGTGATAGGAAAATATGCTAGTTTACCAGATTCCCAGCCGTATTCTCACATGATTTGACTGCATTCCTGTCTACCAAACAGTATTTTTGGCTCCTGGGCTTTAACCTATTTAACATATAAAGCTATGTTTCTTTGAATGTGCTTGCCAACGTACTCTAATTAGTTTATATTAAAACTGTAGGCTAGACATAGCATATTGATGGTATCATATTATAAAGCAGTCAAGTTTTAAAACCAGAGGTGGGTGCTGACAGAAGGTTCGCTGCCTTTTCTGCCCCAGTGGTTTTGGATATCTCGCATATTACAAGGATAAACTTTTAAGTTAAAACTGAGACAAAGCCTGCTAAAGCTAAGCAGAAGCAGAAAAGGGCGGGTCAGTCTTGTCTTGTCCTCACTTGCAGACCTGATTCTGAGCATATTTTTTTTTTCCATTCAGGAGGAAGGAGTGGAGCACATGATGAAATATATGACCTTCTAATTCGCCCTGCAATATTCAAGATGTTGCTGTTGACTGCAGCCACTCTGTTAAGGAGCCCTGAAAGCACATAGTTTATTTAGCCTACCAGCAATTGTGCTGCGTTTGAACCTTTTTAAGCTCTTTGTACGTGCAACTCGTGAACAAAGTTGCTATTTAAGGCTGGTACTTGCACAGGATACTGCTTGACACTACTGATGAAATCTAGATCACTCAAAAGAGCTTCCAGGATGGCAGCAATCCAGCTGACGCATCTTTCCAAAAATATTCAGAACGATTTGCTTTTCCTGCCTGTGTGCTTCATTTTTAATATTATTGTCTCTGTTGTGCCAGGGGTTTGTTTTGGGGGGGGTGGGGAGTAGGGGTTTGATTTCATATTTCTCATATTTCTATAACATTGCAAATAATACAATCAAGCTCTTACATCCTGTTTCTTCTAAAA